CAGCAGTAACCAAAGTAAAACTGAAACTTAGAGTTCCTTTGTCATCTTTCCTCATCTTCAGGTTTTTAAGATACTTGCCAAACTGGGCAGGAAAAATTTCTATCGAACTTACTCCAAGCAAAAATAACTTAGTCATTGCACCAACACAAGACCCATTCAGCATTACAGCGTAAGGGAACAAATCAAGTCATTCGCCGATTTTGCAAAGACAAAGTTGACTTAGACTTTGGTTTCTCAAACTCAACACTGAAGTAAACTATTATTTCAATGCTGCTGGAGATGCTTGGGACCCAGTTAAGTTCACATGCGAACAGTTTGAATGCAAGAGAATAGAAAGCAGACTTGCCGTTTATATGTTGGACCCAGATATTTCAAATGCTTTAGCTGCCAAATATATTGCAGTTCCACTTATGTTCCCTATACACCAAATATCTGTCAAAGACTTTGCAGGTGAAGTTGGAAACCAAATCCAGGAGCCGAGGTGCAAGAACAGATATTGCTTTAACAACTGCAATGAAACATGCAGATACTATGTTTGTACTGTTCAGACGAACTATAAATGACTATTCTTGTTTCTACAACCCTGGTATTAAATATCATATAAACATAGATGGCAAATATTATCCAAGAGAAGAATATTCTACAGTTGAGGATATGAGGTCATACAACTTGACATTAGATGCTATGAACTTTAACAACAACTTCACAACAACCATTAACCCTGAAATGCAAAGTTCTATTATGCCATATGTGAAAGTATGGACTCATACAGGAGGTCAAAAAACTCAATATACAAATGGAGACCGTTCAAACTTTTGGCTTGGCATTCCATTTGCTGACTCAGAAGACTTTATGGGTGGTATTTCAACTGTTGGTACAGTTCAAATACAATATACTGGTGACAGAGACGGTCCAGATGAATTGAGAGCAAAGAAGTTTACAAAACCAATAGCACTTTTCACGGAAGATGCTCTTTTGAAGATTCGTTCGATGAAACCTGCTGGGGCTCCTCAGATTGGCATAACGACAGCTTCCATCGAGCAGATTTTGGCAGCAGGTCAGTAAGTTGTTCTTGAACTGACTTCTCTCCGTCAAATATTGACAGTACGCCAGTTTTGACATAATATTGTATTATAAACTTTCCTTTAGTAATATCGGTCAGTTTTGAAGTTATATTTTTGTCTGCTTCAAGAACTTTCACCATTTCAGTTATACCAACTTTCTTTGCTTTATGAAAATATTTTGGTTCAGCAAATATTGCTATTCTATAACATTTTCCATTGTTTGTGTAAAGAACTATTCTGTCAATGTATTTGTATTGTTTGTGAGTATAAACTTTGTTCTGCTTCAATTCAATAAGATATCCGAATACGTCCATCTTTTTATTCTAAGTAAAATGTCATTTCCGAAAAATAGAAGCGTAAGTGTTTCAAAAGGTTTAATGGCGGTGGCAGATGTGAAGTTAAATTCACCAACTCAAACAAACAGTCAAAGTGTTATTGTCAATGTCAAAGACAGAGATGTTGAAGTGGGGAAACCATACGAAGACGAAGATGGTATAACAATTGTTCCTGTAAAAGAACCAACATATCCTGAAGTTAACAGAGACTTAAGTTCTGTTGCAGATATTCGAAACGACTACCAACAACTGAAAGACAAACTTCAAACTCAGGAGAAGATTTGTCAAGCTTTAAGTATAATGTTAAACTTGGTCGAACACAACCCTGTAAAAGTGAACTCATATGTCATTGCACCTCATGAAGTTTTGAAAGAACTATTGAAACTTTTGACAGAGGCAGACAATATAAACATCAAAGAAATAGAACCCGACATTAGTTGCTGTGGTGTTTCATATAATGCCATTGACAAGATATACGTTATGAAAGGAGGTGAAACGTTGAACTTAAAATATAGTTTCCCAGACGTTATAAAAATATTTGACGACCACAACATTTCATTAAAATTTATTTGCTAAGTAAATGGCAGAAGACATAATGGTTTATACTATTACGACTAAAAACCCTGAGTCATATAATTCTATAACAACAAACTTACAAAGTCCTCAAGGACGATATTGTAAACTAACCTTAAACACAATGACGACTAAAGCCTGTTTTGCTCTTTTGACACCAGAAGACTTTATTGTTGTGAATGGTAAAAAATACTCCTTTGAAGATACTTACTCAGATATACCACCAACAGGTTTTGTTGACTTATTTAATACTTTAAGTACGGGTGTACATGTGCTGCAACTAGAGCAGGTTTCATTATGTTTGGATGTCCGACTGAGTTTACTATAAACGATATGAGCTATAATACAAAACTTATTTCTGGTTTTTACTACCAACAGTTTCCTATAACAGGAAAAGGTGTCATACAAGGAATGTCTATTCCATTGACATTAAGCACACCAATCTTATATATTGTTTCAAACTTAGGTTCAAAGTGTTATTCGAATGTCGACAGAAACTATTATGACCAAAAGATACTTATGCGTATAAACAATACTTTCTCTGCTGGTTTGCCTATTGTTCATTCGAATGCAGAATTTTCAACCTTAGTGAACTCAAACACTTTGGCAAGTATAACGTTGACATTAGTTGACGCAAACTTTGTTCCTGTAAAACTTTTATGTCCTATGTATTTGTCAATGACGGCAGAAAGTTTCGAATTGGAAGATGCAACTGGTGAAAGTATTGTATTACAAGAACAACTTCAACAACAAATAGCTCAAGAACAACAAATGCAACAAATGGAACAACAAAGTCAAGAATAAAAAAATAATATTTTTTTATTTTTATAAAAATGTACAGAATAGATGTTTCAGATTTTTATGACTTCCAAGCATTCAGAAATATGTGTCCATTTAGAGACTATAACAAAGCAGTCGAGAATTTGAAACGTTTAGTCATTTATGTTGACTCTGCCCCAGAATGTTATGTCATGAAAGAATGGGATGTTGTCTTTAACAAACCAAGAGCAACAATAGTGTCTGAACAAGAATGTAGACAGAAACTTAAGAAAATAAAAGTTGTACAAGTTGGAATGAAGATGTTAGATGCTTGGGATATCTTATTGTCAAAGTTAGAAGATTTTTCAGTTCGAGGTATAAAGTTCTATACACCTTCTCCAAACTTCTATTCTATCTTCACTGGATATAAATACGAACAAGTAGAATGGAAAGAAAATATTATAGAAGCTTGGTTAGACCATGTCAAAGAAATTATATGCAATGGAAACGAAAGAGTCTATGAGTATATCTTATGTTGGTTTGCAAACATCTTACAACATCCAAGTGCTAAAAATGAAACTGCTCTCATTATAATTGGAAAACAAGGAACAGGTAAGAATACTTTCTTTACAGATATTTTGTGCAAACTGTTAGAAGGTTATTCGAATCCGAATATGACAAACTTAGAAAACATCTGTGGCAAGTTTAACTCCTCAATAGAGAATATGAAACTTATAGTTTGCAATGAACTTCAAAGTATAGATACAACAAAAGTTTTGAACTCAGATGCTTTGAAGAGTCTTATAACAGACAAAGTTGGAGTTGTTGAAAGAAAGTATAAAGACCAAAGAGTTTGTGAAAATGTTGCAAACTTCATTATGGTTTCAAACAATGCTGTTCCGATGAAGTTAGAAAGTTCTGACAGAAGATATGTAGTTGTCAGAACGTCAGATTCTCATATGCAAGATACAGAATATTTTGACGACTTAGCAGAAACTTTGACATCTGACTTTTACAACCATTGGTTTTCATATTTCATGACATTAGATATTTCTAAGTTCAATCCAAGACAAATTCCACATACCGAAGAGAGACAAACATTGTTAGAAGCAAACAAGAGTGTATATGAACTGTTCATAGAAGAAAGCGACTTTGAGTGTTTAGATGAAAAGTCTTTATAGGATGAATATAAACAATATTGTCAAGAGTATGGTTATATGCCAGCGTCTAAACGAACATTCTTGGCAAATGTCAAAAGTCTTTTAGACGTACAGAATGGTGTATATACAAAGAAAAATTTTTCTGAGTAAATTTAAAAAAATATTTTTTTATCCGATAGAAAAGATGACGAAATATATTTCAGTAAAAAAGTACATGTCAGGACTTAAAGAAGAACTAGACCCATTCACATATTTGAATGTTTACTTCTACCATTTTGAAAAGTCTTCATTCAGCAAAGTTTGGAACATCGAACCAGTTAAGTTTGCTATTGTGACTAAAAATGGTGCGAAATTTGAAGACTTAGACATAGAAGGTTTGTTAACAGTCAAAGAAAGTTTTGACAGAAGGTTCTCAAACCTTAAAGAAGGCAAAGCATACAAACTTGTTATACCTTATGAACCAAAGAAGACAGACGACTATGAATATTATGAGTCTAAAGTTGTAGAAGTTCAAGGTAAATTGGGTAAAAAGCTATTAGAGTCTAAGCCAGTGTTTACTCCTAAAGAGGAAGAGAACATTGACATTGACCCAGAAATGTTCTAAAAATAAAATTTTATTTTTACATGTCATATCTCCCCTTCTCTGGAACTGGTTCAGGTTCTTTCTTCTCTTCTTCTACTTTCTTTCCTTTCTTTTCTCTCTTCTTCTTTTCTGGTGGAGTTATGTCAAATTTCTCAGAACCATATTTATGTAAAAGTTCTTTGTCCTTTAATAGCTCATCTATTCTGTTTTCTATTTCATCTTCAAGAACAGCGCATGTGTCTTCTTTGCATTCTAAGAAGTTTTGTTGGACTTCATCTCTCCAATCGGCGTCATCTCTGTCAACAAGTCTGTCATTGACAAATTTTAAGACTGCTCTGCTTAATGTTTTATGGTTCTTGTCATATTCCCAGAAACAGAACTTTAGAACAAATTCACCTTTCTTGTTTACACTATGTAAGATTTTATGGTCGACAGATGTTTTGCTGTCAAAAAGTTTGTCTCGAATATATATAGCGAAATCGCTAGACATTTTCTAAAAGATAAAAATTTTAATTTTTCTAAAAATATGTTAGAAAAAAAGTTTGCTGACATTGACAAGAAATTTGAGAATGTTTTAAACAAGAACAAGGTGAAGTTAGAAAATGCTCAGATAAAGCCTATACATGACAAGTTCTTATTTGCTCAGAATGGTATAACAGGTCTAATTGCACCACCTGGGTCGGGTAAGACTTTCACTTATCTTAAAATGGCTGCACAACAACAAGAACTAGATGAGAAGAACCCATTCTATGAGTTAGTTGTTATTTGTTCGACTTCTGGTCAATTTGACCAAACCGTCAATTCGTTCAAAGATATTATAAAGAAGTCTAAGTTAGTATGTATAAAGGATACTGAGTTGTTAGATTGGATAAAGAAGTACCAAAGAAGAGTTTTGAAGTATAATGCTATAAATGAGTATATAAATTCTAAGTTTAAAGAACCTAATGAGGAAATGCAGAGAATATTAGAGAAGAAACACTTCAGAAACAAACAGAAAGAGATAGAATACATTTCGAAGAAATTGCAATCTTACGATTGGAAGACTTACCCTCATAGATGTCTTCTTATCTTAGATGATTTCGCCTCTCATCCTTTGTTAAAGAACAGAGAACAAGATATGTGTCGAATTCTTAAGAAGCTCAGACACTTTAACATCTCAGTCGTAATTGTGTACAGACAGCAAAGAGTTTAAGTAAGGATGTTAAAAGAATACTTACTGACATTATACTTTTCCCCGGATTGTCCGAAGACGATTTCATGGAACTTATGAAAGAGTCCATGGCAGGTAAGTTTGACAGACATGAACTATGGGAGAAGTATAAAGTCATACAAGACCCTCATACTTCTTTCAGAATTCATATCTACGCAAACAAAGTTCAAATTGTAAAAAGTCAATAAAAATAAAGAGTGCATCTACCCTACTTGTTTGAAGTTGTCAAAATACTCTGTTATTTTTTCCTTTAACAATGGCAAATCTTCTTTGAATGTAAGTATTGTACAACCTTTCATATCATAGTGTGTTTGAGGTAACGTATCTTGAACTATTTGTTTCACATCTTCATTTGGGGTCATTGAAATCGGTAAGTTTTCGCGATAGAACCAATTTCTGTCAGATTTGTAAATCTTAGCAAGGTCGTAAAAGCTTTTGTTGTTTCTTCTGACTAAATGCAACATAACCATATCTCTGTCTTCTTCATTTTCCATCTCTTCAGTATAAATCATATACTTATAGTTCTTTTCCTTTCCTTTTGGTACCGAACGTGGTATTCTTTTCTGAATGCTTTTGTCTTTTGCTTGAAGTTTCTTTTCCATCTCTTCACGTTCTTGTCTATGAATTTCGTCAAGAAGTCTGTAAATATTCCAAGCATAACGAGGCGAAGCCCACATTGCAACAGCATTTACAAGAAGTCTATGTACATAATATCCTCTCAAACCGTTTGGCAATTTTTCACGATTTTCATAGAGTTTTGGCGACTGGGGTTTTTCTCCCACTCGAGTTTTTGCGACTACGGGATTTCTCGTAGTCGAATTTTCAGCTTCATTTAATAGTTCAATAGTGTTTTGGTTCCTAAACCAGTCTTGTGGTTTCTTATTGTCGGGTGCAAAACATGCTGTCAAAATACTTTGCATTTGGTACATATCGTCTTTGACCGAACGAATGAGTCTCAATTGTTTGTTAAACTGTATGTACTCATATTCTTCATTTATAGCTTCATGGACTATAACTGTTGTTGTGTTCTCTGTTGTTGACATTACTGTCTTTACATACAAAATAAAAAAATAAATAAAAATAAAACTAACTTTATTTTTTCTGTCTTAAGGAAATTCATGATTTTTGTGCTGAATTCAATAAAAATATATTTTAGGTGAAGCCCACATTGCAACAGCATTTACAAGAAGTCTATGTACATAATATCCTTTCAAACCAGGAGCCAAATTCTTGCGATTTTCGTACGGAATCTCTTCCCTCGGTTTTCCGAGGGAAGCAATCATATGAGGAAATTCATGATTTTTGTGCTGAATTCAATAAAAATAATGTTTAGGTGAAGAGGTGAGATTTCACCTCTTTTTTCACCTTTTTTTCACCTGTTTTTTCACAAGCGTTTTACATGGTAAACGTTATTTTTGGAATTTTGTGAAAACTCAACGGTTTGACACAAGCCATATGCCATTTTACTCAGAATTTTGTTGCTGAATTCAATAAAAATATATTTTAGGTGAAGAGGTGAGATTTCACCTCTTTTTTCACCTAATTTTTCACCCCAGTTATTTTATAAGCGTTTTACATGAATTGTACGATGTATATTTGAAATCCTAAACAATTTCGTAGCTTCTATTTCTTCTTTTAGTACATCGAATGTTTTAACAATGCCGAAAGTTTCTTTATACTTCTTCTTGACGTCAGATAGAAGCAAATCGTCAGCAGTTGGATAGTTTTTGTTCAGAAATTCTAACATGTCCATTTTATTTTCTGCTGGCTTTTCTGCTTCTTTCTTTAAGTCTGCATAGTCGTTTCGCATTCTTTCTATCTCTTTGACGGAGTAGTTATATTTCCTCATTGCTGCTTTACATTTAGAACATTGCGGGTTCATTTTTGCGTTATATTCTGAAACCTTACCTGCTAAAACAACCAAGGCGTCAATGGTTTTCTTTAAATCTGAAGCAATTGGTTTTATCTGTTCATTCCATACCTTACCTCTTCTGTCTTTATCTCTTATCTGCCATACACATTTTGCAGCTAATGAAACAAAGTTGTCGTATGTCTTAAATTCTTCGGATTTGTAAAGGTCAGAAATATTTTTATAAACCATGTCGCAATCTTTGTCCATAACTTTATGGTTGCAATGAAAACCAAGGAATTCATAATTTACTTTACGTATGAATTTCTTAATTTCTACTGAGTCAGTTGCTTTGGCTTCAATTTCATCGAATTCAGGAATAGTGAATTTTTGTTGTTGGATTTCAGGCAATTTGGGTAAATGGTCAATAATGTCCTGCATTTCATAAAGATATTCTTCATTTTCTTCATCTTTCGCACTACAGTCTAAATTACTTGTTAAAAGTTCCTGCTTTATCTTCTGGATTTCTGTTTCGAAAGTAAATGAAGAAGGAATGAAGCTTTTCATCTCTACTAACATAGATGTTGGATTCATGACTAACGAGTTTGGTGCTGTTGTTTGAATTGTTGTTGTGCCGATTGTTGACATTTCTGTTCTTACATACAAAATAAAAAAAATAAATAAAAATAAAACTAACTTTATTTTTTATTTCGGGAAAATTCATGAAAATTCAAGAGGGTGAAAAAACAGGTGAAAAAAGAGGTGAAATCTCACCTCTTCACCTAAACATTATTTTTGTCTGATTTCAGCAACAAAATGAACGAGGTCAGGATGTATGTAAATACATTTGAATTCATTCATAACACCCTTTGTAAGCTCATAAAATGCTTGTTTTGAGGTCGAGCCACTTTTGGCTCCACCGTATTCTTTCAACCAAAACTCAAGAATTTCCTGCATGAATTTTGTATAAAAAGCAACCGCCGGAATTCAGACTGTTGCTATATTCTTCACAAAATGCCTTATAATACTCTTCCCAGGACTTATTTTCCAACAACTTTCTAAAGTCTTTCCTAAACTGACTGACTGACTGACGGCACAAAGTGGCTTAACGAAAACATTAATATATAAAATTCATGAAAATTCAAGAGGGTGAAAAAACAGGTGAAAAAAGAGGTGAAATCTCACCTCTTCACCTAAATTATATTTTTTGGTCCGGGAACAACTTTTTCTCAATTGGAGCTGTAGCATACTCTTTGCGTAAGCGGTTCAGACCTTCTTCGAAGTCTTGGTCTCTCTTGGACTGAGATTGGAATTGCTGGGGTGGAGCTTGCTGGAACATCCATGGGTTGGGGAAGTAAGGCATAGGCTGAGGAGGGTAGTTCGGGAAGCCTTGTGGTGGGTAGTAACCTTGAGGTGGAAATTGGTAGTAATTCGGAGGTCCTTGTTGGAACTGAGGTTGCTGTGGTTGCTGCTGGAGTTCTGCAGCTTTCGGTTCTTCTGGCTTTGGAAGGCATTCAGGAAGAGGAACGTCAGTCATCCGTTTGTGTCCTGTCGGAAGGAAGAACTTTTCCTGTCGGATGGAAGAACTTTTCCTGTCGGAAGAAAAAACTTTTCCTGTCGGAAGGAAAATTTTTTCTAAAGTTCGACCAAAAAGTTCTCAATTTTCGAAAATTTGAATGGTTTACGGACGGACAACTGGAAGAGTTCTTCCTGTCGGAAGGAAAATTTTTTCCAGTTGTCGGGAAAAATTTTTCCTGTCGGATGGAAGAACTTGGAATGCAAGAAAGACTTGACGAGGCAATTTACCTCATTGAACTTAACGAGCTTGTTAAAGACTTCCTCAGGCAGAATGTAAAAGGCAAGCTTGTTAACGGTTGGATAACGGGAAGGGCTGCCTTGAATCTCGAGACTTCGACTGGAATTCCAATTGAGGTACCAGAAGGCACTCCTTTCGACGACATAAAGCAAGCAAAGAAGGAAGTCATTATAAAGTTCTTTGCCAAGCGTCCTTGGATACTACTTCCAAACAGAGAGAGTCCAATTCCACGAATTATACAAATTCTCAGAGCACTGTTCCACTTCTCTGGTCAGCCGTTCTACATAACCTGTGAAGGCGACATCCAACCAGTTCAGTAAACATCTCATTTTAACTTCACTTTTTTAATGTTTTTTGTGAAAGTGTCAAAAATAAATTGTTTTCATGAGTTTTCTACGATGTTAGAAAAATGTTATTTTCTAATATCTTCACATTCAATACTTTTTCAGCACTTTTCCGTAGTTATATATGAAAGACAATTCGAGATAAAAGTCATAGTACAATGGAATAATATGTTGCACACCATTTGTTGTGAACCAAACTTGAAAGTCAGAGAAACTGTTACTAGGTGGTTCGTAGAATTTAGAAGCAAAGTCATAAAGGTCCTTACCAATACATAGAAAACTATTGTTGCTTGAACTGAAACTTGCATGACACATAACATTTTGAGGGTCAAACACGTTTCTATAAACCATCAAATCTGCTGGTGGAAGTATAAATTTAAATGGACCATCTGGTGGTAATGGTTCGTTCTGGTTTAGTAACCGAAGAAATTGTGCCCAAGAACGTTTGTCTACTTCCCAAAATAAAAACTCTGTATCTCTTGGAGGGTTAATTTCAATCTTTTGAAATGAAACGGTGGAGTTCATCTTGTCATATTCTAGTTTCAGATAGTATGTTCCATTTAGTAAAAAGTCGTATTTTTCTTGAAATTCCCAATAATATTTGTTCATTTGAGTTTGAAAGTCATCTAGAGTTTTCTCAAGACTTTCGTCTGAACGAACTGTAAAGATTCTCATTTCGTCAAATTTGTCTATTAGACCATCAGGACCTTTATACTGCCCATGAAAATATACTGCGAACATAAATGCGTTAGTTCTATTTGAAAACAAAACTCTTCTAAATCCTATTGCCTTTGCATCTGAAGGACTTTGAAGCCAACAATTGGATAGTCAAACCTGTATGCTCGGGATGAAATTTCTTCATCTGAAATAGTCCTACCAGCATTTGTAAAGATATAGTCTAACGGTTTTGTATCTGCTACTTTTGTTCTTTGTTTTTCAACCTGAAGCATTTAATATATGTAAAAATATATTGTTTTAAAATGGTATGCCATATAGCTTCTTGAATTTGTTAAGAAGTATTTGAACGTATTTTCCATCTGTATCTCTAGTGTTTACATAAGCAAACTCAGCGTACATTTCAAATAAAATAAAAAAAACGTCACTTTTTAAAAATAAATTTTTTATTTCATGCAATGTTTTATTTCTGTGCCGTCTTCAAGTATGCCCCAATATTTCCTTTTCGATATTACATGAACTTCGGAAAATACCTTATCTAGCTTAAAACAGCCCATCTTTTCACCGACTAAACCCGTTTCAATGAGTTTGTTATAGCCTTCTTCGTTCGTCATGAGTGCGTCAATGTTCTCATAGTAAACCTTCACTTTGGATTTGACTTCGGAGAAGAATTTGTTGTAGTTGTCAAGGACTGCTTTTGCGAACTGAGGGTAAGACCAATGTTCGACAATAGGTTTTAATGTGGTTACTAAGCCACTTTGACCTTGAGTGAATTCGTACTTCAAAACAAAAGGAGAAAACCTTTCAATAAAGTTGTCGACCTTCTCATAATGTTTACTCTTCATCTCTTGAGGTTTCTTAATGGAATATCCCCATGTCGAATTCATAAGCAATTTGAGTGTCATTGCAAGTTTGGGGTTTGAAGCTTTCCTAATATCATACAGTTGTTGTATGACTTTTCCAACTATATAGTTCCTTCCCGGGAACTCACCATCTTCGTTTGGAATTCCAGTCGGAATATATTGGACAAACCTCATGTATGCAGCGTTAAGGTCGACATAGTATATCTTTTCATCTGAGTCGAACTTGTCGCAACCAATTGGTCCAGTTTGTGGAAATTCAAGTGAGTCTCTTATCTTCTGAGAAACTTCTCCTGTTATCTCATAAACATCGTCGAAGCAACCTGTTTCATATAAAACCTTCTGACCTTACTCAGATGCTCTCCCAATACAATTTGACGTCAATTGGATGTCTCAATGGAAGTTTGTTTATAGCATCTTGAAGTTCTTGCAACCTCATTGGAAGTTCTTCTGGTTCAGGTTGGTATCCGAACAATCCAACTCCTTGTGGAATTGTGTACTTCTTTTGTACTAGAACTTTGTCTGGAACAACTTTTGGTCTTGCTAACAATGAAAAGTTTGTTTCGTCTTTTGGTACAAAAGTTTCTGTCAGCTTGTCATCTGGAATTGGTTCCAACAAACCTTTCTCGAAAAGAATGTTTACAGCTCTGACAATGTTGCACTTACTTTTACCAAAGAATGGGTTTGTAAGACTTTCGTTCAACATGAAGTGGTTGTGGACAATTACAATCTTCAACCATGGTAAGTCTTTGTCAACAACATAGTCGTCATGTGAAGAACCTTTAGCTGTAGGTATGTTGACTCGGATATTGACATTTGCCAACGGTGCAATTTTTGCCAATTGACCTCTGAGAATGTACCTTGTCTTCACACATGACTCAAGATACTTCATCTTCTCATCTGTAACAAGACCAGAGTTCCTGAGACATGTAAGAATACAAGGTTCATTGACAATTGTTTCAATTGAATTGTAAATTCCATACCTTGTCAAGTCAATGTCAGACTTATTTATGAAGGGGAAGTATCCAGCATGTTGTCTGACTGCTTGAGGGTTAGGTTGGTACCATTCGAACTTGACACTTGCAATTCCTTCAATTGCATTCAAAATGTCTGAGTCGGAGTCAACCATTTGTTCTCTCTTTGTAGTCTTGAAAGCGTCAAGAAGTTTTGCGGCTGTTTGTTCATTGCCATGTGCATAGTAAATGTGACCATCCAAATCTGTTATGGTCAATCTGAGATTGTGTCCTTTCTTATTTCCGTCTTGAATTGCAGCAAGTACTCCCATGAAGCCTTCTTTGTTCTTTCCTTCGTCAAAGTTTACTGTAAAGGTTCGACCAGATGTAATTTGACTTCTAACTTCACGATACTTTTCATATGCATATCTTGTTCTTTCCATGGGAGCATGTGCGTCTTCACCTTTTCCTTTTTTCCTTCTCAAAGGATGCAATTGTTCGTCATGTTTCCAGTAGAATCTGGCAAAGCCGTCGTGTCCTTCAACTTGAGGTTCACTAACATCGAAAGGCATGTCCATAAGACGTTCTTCTTCTAACCTCTCTAGTCTGTTTGGATAATTGGCACGTGCTGTTTCCAAATCCATTTCGTAGCGAAGACCAGACAATTTGTCATAGACTTTTATGGGTCTTCCCTTTCTATATTTAAAATTCTTCGAAACTCTCCAACCATATCTTTGTAACTCTGCTTTTATTCTAGCAGACTTTCTATCCATTCTATATGGGGGCATTTTTATAAAAATAAAAAAATATTTTTTTCTTTACTTTACATAACCGCCTGCTGCCATAAGTCTTTGACGCCAACCCATACCAGCTAATGAAGGTTGACTTGGTTTAGTTTGGAAACTAAACTTTGGTTTTGGTTTATCTTCAGTTTTTGGTTTTTCTTCTTCTATCGGTTTTTCGTCACTTTTCGGTTCCTCTGACTTTACTTCACTTGCAGGAACAGTTGTGTCGTCAACATCTTCATAAATATCATATGCCATTTGTTTTTGTTTTCCTTTCAACTTTTTGTGTTTGTTGTAAAGTTTAGAATATTTCGACTCTAAGTCAATGAGATGTTCTATAATGAACTGTTGGTCAGTGAAGTAAACTTTTCCATCTGTTGTCTTGAAAGCTCCTTCAGACTTCAATATTTTATTTGTGAGAGTCTGTTTCTTTTTTGAGATACTAGCCGTTCCATTTCTATGAAAAGTGACTTTATAGTTAGGGTTTGTATTTCCAGACCTGGCACTTTCTATTATTGAATTTTTCTCTTCATCTGTAAGTTCTTTGACAGATTTTGACAATGGTTCTGAACTTTTTGTTTGTGGTGTCAAATCTACCGTTTCAACTTCTTCGGTCATTTCATCTCAGTAAAAAATTTTAGTTTGGTTTGTTTTCAACTGGTTGTTTAGGTTTTTTAAGTCGGTCTAAAACTTCCTGAGGTATAGGAAGAACTTTACAAACACGTGGTGTAAATGCTGGAAGCCGACAAATCCATCTTGAACTCATTTGTCTCAATGCTGCATTGTTCATTTCATCTCAGTAAAAAATTTTACATTCCCCACGTTTGAGGCGGTTGCGGTTGGTTATTGTTTACCCATTGTTGTGCATGGTTATATCCTCTGTTAAAGAATCTTTCACCTTGGTCCATATAGTGTCCTGCTTGGTTATAGTAGTCATTTGCTTTGTTATAATAGTTTCCTGCTTGTCTTCCTACATTGTCCATCCATCCTTGAACTTTTCCTCTTGTTTCAGGATTTGGAATAAGATTTGTTGCATCTCGTGCTACATCCCAACCTTTCTGTACAGTTTGTATAATAGGTTGTGCTTTCTCTTTAAGTATACCTAATGTACTCAAAATCTTCCTTCCAATTCCAAATGCACCTCTGGCTATTGTTCCCACTGCGGGCAAAAATCTAGATGCGACTCCTGCTAATGCGCCAAATAAACCCATTTCTTACAGGGTAAAAAATGACGAATCCGAACAAGGACCCCTATGTTTCTAAGGCAACAAAGAAAGCACTCATGATAAAAATCTTTAGTTCAACACCAAATGCTTGGTTTATGGATATCTTGGAAAACATTCCGAGAGTTAGAACAGATGGACCTCCATACTGGTTAATATTTGTTGGTCAAAACACAAGATACTGTGAAGCCATACCATTATGGTTCAAAAATATTTTAGATGTGAAAACTGCTTTGACAATATTCGTTGACAAATACCATCCAACAAAACTGACATCTGACTGTGAAAGTTCTTTCAAATCAGATGATGTAAAAAACTATCTGCGTTCAAAAAATGTAAACCAATATTTCATTGTCGACCAAAACCATTCTGCTCTTGGTGTCATTGACGGTTGTATAAAAATGTTAAGAGACTTAAACCAACCACAAGGTGGTGAAGCAAATGAAATGTCATATGACGACAAATATAGACACTTCTCCATGGCAAAGATGAGACAAGTTTTAAATATTTACAATAACCGTAAACAAAAAGGTTTGGGAAACCACTCCCCCGAAGAAATGAAAAACAACCCTGACTTAGAGAAAGACTATATATTTAATAATTTAGTCAAAAGAGACAAACAAGAAAGAATGCCGGGCTTCAAACTTCAGAAAGGTGACAAAGTAAAAATAGAAATACCTAAACGCGACCCATATGAAAATACTATTGACTATGACAACAATGGGAATCGACAGGTACTCACATTCGTGTTCGTAAAAATAGAAGAAAGTATACAAGAGAATATTATGAAGTTTTAGGCAAACATGGCAAAATGTACACACTGCAAGCAGAAGATAAAACTACTATTGTCAGACCTCGTTTCAAACTTGTCAAAGTTCAAGGTGGTATACTTTCAAAGACAGTTCCTAACAAATATAAGACAACTCCTGACGAATATGCTAAAGAAGTTGAAAATGACGACTAAGCAATTCTATACCATGCGTAAACTGTCATGTAAGGTGGCATGTATTCTTTACTTTGTCCCGTTGTTTGCGTATATCCTGAAACGAAATGTGTATGGTTTCCTTCTCCCTGAGTGTCACTCCAGTAACAATTTATAGCAAACTTAACCTCGTCTTTAACATCATATCCTTTACCTTTTGTCATTCCTGACCAATCCCAATATCTATGACTATGCCAACCTGCTTGAGATGTACTTAAATCTATGTAGTGACTGTGTGCAGGTAAATTTTCACATGAAATCGTTTTACTTCCCCCTGTTTCCTTTGAAGAGTTTGCACAATACAAAAACCTGTCGAATATTTGTTCCCATGCACCAACACCAAACATTACTTGAGGACCTCTTGCATCCATAGATGTATAAATAGAACCTACTGGGTTCATTAAATCAAACATATGAGATATTATAGGATTGTCTCTTTTGAACTTAAAATATAGTGCAACTATTTCAGGTTTCTTCTGGTTTGTGTCAGAATATTTTTTATAATATAATCTTATGTTTTCAGGGTAGGTAAAATCTTGACTATAATATTTATTTCTGTCATCTGTATAATAATATACTATTCTCGTTTTTTCTATTGCATTATATCTTTTATATCTATAATAATCTAAATATAATGTTAGCTTTTGTTCATCTACATGTGGTGTTCTGTCGTCATCTCCATAGTCATAATAATGTGGTGCTGGAGCTGGGTCAGGCAATGTCATATCTGCCATTTCATAAACTCTTAAATATTTCTTTTGTTCGTCTCCATATAAGTTTAAGTAGCAGTTGTTGTCTAATGGAACTTTAACTTGTGTACCATCATTCTTTTTATAGCTTACATACATTTCATTGTTATTTTTCGGAATGAGTTTACACCGTGTACCATTTTTTAAGGACTGTACCAACTGCCATCTAAAATATTTATTTTCTTCATTGACAGAAAAGTCACCAACAATAGTTTCAATATTTTTTTGTTCCTATCAAACTTTGGTATATTTCATTGACATATGTTTTATCTGCTTTCTTTTCAAGGCTAACGTTTAAGTCTGTTATTTCAGAAGATGTATGTGTATGTCCAACGTCACTTTTCCTGTTTAAGGTTTCTTGTAAGTTTGTAATATCAGATATAGAATGTGTATGTCCAACGGCACTTTTCCTGTTTAAGGTTTCTTGTAAGTTTGTAATATTTGCAATGGTATGTGTATGTCCAACGGCACTTTTCCTGTTTAAGGTTTCTTGTAAGTTTGTAATATCAGATATAGAATGTGTATGAGTCTTATCTGCTTTTGTCTCTAATGTTTCCTTAAGACTTGGTATTTGGTTAATATAATGTATATGAGTCTTTTTAGAATATTCGTTTTCAGCTCTTGTCACTTCACTTGACATTTTATTGTCAACATATGTTTTGTCTGCTAGTTCAGGATGAGTATGTTCTTTTGTTGCATAAGCATTGTTAGCTCTTTCTTCTTCTTTTGCTATTGCATTGTCTACATATTCTTTGTCAGCTTTGTTGTCAACATCTGCTTTCAAAAGAAGTTCATTTATAGGTTTCTTGTTTAAAGTTCCTTTTGTTGGATTTATACAGACAGTATTGTTCTTATTGTCTTGAAATAGAAACTCATCTGTTATAGGGTTTAATGTCAGTTTTAAGTTTCCATCCTTCAATGACTCAGATATCTTAGAATAGTTTGAAAAGTTTGTTGTGTTCTTATTTAGAGCTTGCATAATGAGTTGTCGGTTGTGTTGTATTTCTCTCATAGACGCTGTTTCATTTGACATTTTTATTATAGATAAAATATGCTTCCAATAGAAAAAGAAAATTCTAGAGTTGCTACAACTAAACCATTAGATGAACTTTTTACTAATGTCGGTCAAAAGTTTGAGACAGATACCGTAAAGCATGAAGGCTATCGTTTTGACTACCCATTAAGATGGTTAAGAGACCCATCCGTCACAAAAGCTATTGGCTTTCGTAAGAATGAAGTTCATTTCAGAAGCCATACATGGTTTCCCATTTACGGTCGGTTTTGAAGTTCGATACTATAACAAAGAAAAACGTATGTATGAGAAATTTGAACAAGGAAAACTTTTACAAGTTAATTTGCTTATAAACTTAGAAACAACTCTTCAAGCTTTTCAAGAAAAAATAAACGATATCTATATTGAATATGCAAACCAGTTTAACATTGACGAAGGAGAATACCATCTCGATATTATTTATGACAGGAAAAATGCAACTGTTAAAATCAATAAAATAGAAGACCTTGGAGAAAACGTTTATATTTCTACAAAATATAACAACTTGGCATGGTATAGATTTATGAGGATGTTAAATCAGCCTGCAGCATATCCAGTACACCCGGACTATTATGAAGTCGAAAAACCTAATGGAACATATGAAAATATTTTCGACCCAGATGCTATTATTGTTCATGCTTCATTTTCTGGTGCGCAAAACTCTTTCTTATGTCTGATGAATGACTTTTACGAAAAACCTACAAAGTTATATGAACCGCCGAGTGGAAGTATTTCAGACTTTCAAGTATGGTTTACTACAGATGGAAGAAAAAGAATAATTCCATTATACCATGCGTTTTACTTAGAACTTAGTTTCATATACAACTACTATCGAACGATAAAATATAATTTTTTAATACGGTTGAGGTGTTGGATTTGGTTGCCAACTAGACTGTGGTGCAGGTTCAGGCTGTTGTATAACAGGAGCTTGTTCTTCTGGTTCAGGGTCTTTAGGTATAATACCAACAAACTGACCTACTCTTTTACCAATATTTTTGACACCGTTCCATACTCCTCTTCCGACAGATTTTATTCCATTCCATATACCTCTTCCAACTCTTCTGAAGAAGTTTCCAATACTACTGAAGAAACCCATTTTACTATATGTAAAAATCTAATGTCCACCTAGTCTCTTACGTTTCCTGTTGAGTTCCATAGCATTCTTTAACTGGAGCTCATACATTCTGTTTCTCCTCTGGTAGAAACATATTCTGGGTCAACTCCTGTGTTCGCGTCATCTGCATAAAGTTGTTTATATCCCACTTCAGGGTTTGTATAAAACTCTTTCCATCTCATATTTGCATACCATGGTGGCAAACCTAACGCAGCGTCATTTGACATGGCAGTTTGCATTTGTACATCTGTTGGCACTTGACCATAGTTTGCCATTGCAGTTTGTATTCTAACTTCATTTGGAATATTCTCTGGGTTTGGTTGTCCAGGTTGCTGTGCATTCGCTAAGTTCTGTGCGTCCATTTAATATTAGATAAAAATATCTCTTACGAGTACATATACTGAACATTTTGCAGGCATTGGTTCATCTTCATATTCTCTGTACTTTTCTGCCACGTCAAATAAATAAATGACACAATGGAAAAAACCTAAAACAAGTAGTCCTATTTCAAACCACATTTACTTACTAATAAAATTTCTTTATTGTGACACTTTCTCCGGTTTATAGGACCTCTCTCATATTCTATCTTGTCATATATAAACTCATAGTCATGTATGTCCTCTAACCATCTCATAACGGTTTCCAAACCACTTTTATCGGATGTAAAGTAAAAGCATGGATGGTTATGTATAACGTCTAAAGTTTCTAAAGAGTCTCTCAAAGTCCAGTCTACTTGGTATTGAAAATCCCATGTGTTATAGAACGGCGGGTCCACTATAAAGAAAACATTTTCCTTGTCTTTATATTTTTCATACAACTCTGTCCAATGACATCTCACAAACTCTATCTCATACCGAAATGGCTCGCCAAAAAGGTGACATTTTTGGCGCCAATAATTTGATTTTTCTGATTCTTTCTATTTAGATATATTTATTTAATATTCATATTCCTTTATATTGCCTCATATTATTTCCCATTTTTAATCATATTATACAAATCTTTAATAATTTTTAATGTTTTGAGCTTCAAAATCTTGTTCTAACTATTTTCATTCATATATCCTAGAAAAAATTAAAAAGTTTTTTAGAAATAAAAATGTTTGTATGTAAAGTATTGAAAATATTCTAGATGAGAAGACATTCTCCAGAAGAGATTGATATTGATTGGCTTTGTGAAGCCATCACAAAATCAAATAATGGAGTTAAGTTAACTGATATTTGCGCGAAAGCTAAAATAAATCATGAAGGCAGAGTTATATATAATCATACTATCTTAAAGTATTCCTAGAAATTTCCAAAATTAACCGAAATATAACTGTACAGAATTACTATTTTCGAGATAAAATTCATATGGAAATACTAATTCATAACGCTTTATGTTATATAAAATTTAATTTATAAAAATTTCAAAATAAATCAAATTTAACACAATGAATATAACTGCAATCGAGGTTTTTGACGATTGATTCTTACGAGAAGTTTTCCAAACTTTGAGTTAATGTCTTGACATTAACTCAAAGTTTGGAAGTCTAATAAGGGGAATTGTAGGCTATGAGGTACTGATTATATATCAGTGCCTCATAGCCTGCAATTCCCATTAGAAATCGGAGAAACTTTGTCCGCATAACTTATGATGCGGACAAAGTTTCTCCCATTTCTACTTAGAATGAAAGGGCAAGAGGTATATAGGTACACTATATATCTCTTGCCCTTTCCTTCTTACCTAAAGACTTCCAATCTTATTTTTTTTCCAATTTTTTCCCTAAATTTAAATCTTATATAATATAAATAAAATGCATAATATCAATCACAAAAATTAATGTTTATTTTTTTAATTAAAATTGCCGCGCAATTTAAGGTTTTCTGTCACTTTTTTGTTAGCCATTTCGGTACGAAACAGACATCTCACAAACTCTATACCCTCAATATATTTTTCTATGTCCTCTTTGAAAACATTTGTATAGTTAAGATATAAAACTTTTGACATAAGTGTTTCAATGTCATGAACTCTTATAGAACCACTATATAATAGTCTAGCAGATATACTATCCCAGTCTATATATTCTGCTTTTTTCAAAACCTCTCTCACAATATTTTTCTTATCTAATGGTATACGTTCCATCTTACCTATAGGTATCTTTTCTTTTAACTCTTTCAATATATTGTTTGTGTCTGGAATATGTTTGAGACGGTTCATATAGTTGTCGAAGTCATTGCATATAATCTTTGAGTCTGGGAATATTGTATGACATAAATGGGATATATAGAAACTTCCACCGAACAAATCTACAAATGTAAGACCATTCGGTAGTTTCTTAAGTTCTCTCAATATAATATCTTTACATCTACTCTTATTTCCAAAGAACGGTAACGGCGGTTTTGTAAAATTCATTTATATATAATAATAAAAATGTTTTTACCTGAAAAGTGACAGAAAAGTGACAAAACATGAAAACATATATAATTTGTGAAAAGCGACACATTATATAATGTTTTCGACCCAGAAGCAATGGAGGAGGAAGAAGAGGAGGAGGAAATACAAGACTCTATCCAAGAAGAGTCCTCCGAATTCACACCAGAAGACTAACAATTTTCCGAATAAAAACTTCATTTATACTAAACATCTTCAGGGCTAGAGGGCGCAACGCGCCTGGAAGCCCCACTCACCTGACCTGGTTAAATAAATAATAAAGATTTTTATTTTATATCAGTATTGAGAAGAAGTAACAGCTGAGACTTGGTAGACAACTTCTTTATGTCTAGAAAATTCTATCTTGCCTTTTATTTTTTTCTCGCTGTGAAACGTATTCGGTCATTTTTTTAAAAATTAATTTTTTGTTAGAGATAAGAGCTAAAACTTTGCAGACAACTCCCCCATGTCTAGCAAATTTAACATTCGTCTCCCATTTTGATATATTTGGTTTAGAATGTTCGAAAATGCGTAATATGGTCATTAATATTAATTGAAAAGAACCTTGAATTAATTCAATCTGATCTCACAATATATTTTAAATTACAAACTTTGTAGTTTGAATAGATAATTAGTATTAAACTCAAATAACTAGTTTATTTTTGAATAAAAATTATTTGAATTTATTCAATTTTGTGAATTTTCCTTCAAAAATCAAGTTTAAATATCTTATTTGCCATATAATTATAAATACAATGAAACATATTCGAAATTGAAAAGAATGACTTTTTCTGTTCTTTCAATCATTCAATTTGAATTTTGCAATATTGGAATTCTCATTAAAGAGCTATTAAAAACAACAAGCAATTTAACTTACATTCAAATTTATTTGTGTTATATTCAATCTTCTCAAAACTTATAATTTTCGGCTATAGCATAATTATATGCTATATAATATAATAAACCTATAATAGTATCATTCTTTCAATTATTTGAAGAGAAAACCGAAAAAATCTATTTTCGGTCTATAACATAAAGAAGAATTTATGCAATTCAATTGATTATTCGAACAATAATTGAATTAATTGAATCCCTCGTACAAAATGCATTTGCATTTTTGTATGTGATAAGCTTCATATTACACCTTTACACAAAATTTACAAACCATTCTGTCAAAATTTCAATCATTATTTTTTTTACGTAATTTGAAAATGTTATTTTTAATCAATATGTGACATGTTTTACTAATTATTTTTTTCCGTTTACAAATATTCTGATAATTATCGGGTTTGTTTTTGAATTGAAATAAATTCAAATGTCCAAGAATAGATCTGAGAAACTTTATCTCGGATCATTAAAAAGGAAAACTAATGCGGAAATAGACATTCAAAAGAAGCAAGAGCAAATGAGGTGGGAACAATCATTAAATGCACAGCATAAATTAGCTTATCATCCTCCTCAAAGAATTTCCTATTCAAGAACAGTATCATCGAGATTAGCATTGTTGCCAAATTCAACTCTTTGTATGCCTTCTCGATCAAAACATGGGAGAAGAGAGGCAGGAATTAGAAAATCAAATTCTTTTGTTCCGACTGAATCAATGACACGAACACTCAAGGAATTAAAAGAAACCCAAAAGAAAAATGATCCAGCTTTCAGATCAATGAACAATTTGCCTCCAATAATTAATGAGAATATACAAATACAGCCATTCTCGCCAATATCAGCTACTGTTGCTCAAATGGAGCGTCTTAATATTATATGAATGTTTTTATTTAATTTATCATGTAAAAAATGCATATATTGATTTGTAATATTTATTATCTTGATGCTAAGAAAGAATATGATTTATTTGAGGGAAGACTTTGCAATTCCCATACTACTATATTCCTTCCAAGAGAAACCTGGGGCCCTGGTGTAATGCACCAGGACCCGATGCCTCTGGCAACAAGGAGAAAAGACAAATGTTGCCAGATGTTTGCAAAACATTTCGGGTACGACGTTGTTGGAACTTATGAATCTAATTCAATCTTTCAAAAAACTTGGTAGATCCTAATTCAATATTTCAATAAGCTTCGTGAAATCTAATTCAATCTTTGTAAAAACCCGGCAGAAGATTATAATTATAGGGCGTGTGGGCAATTTTAACGACATTTTTTAACGCGATACGAGCGTAAGTCCATAGAATGTGTTTTGAGGGAAACTATAAAAATCCAAAATAGAGGTAAGTGCGCCATTATTACCTGCGAAGTTACATGGAATAAATCGAAGAGTAAGTACAAGATGATCTTGCATTTTTCCAAGTAAATGAAATTTATTAAAATTAAGATGATAATATTCATTTATAGTATGTGTATGATGTGTTTTCAAAATTTCTTCAAATAAAATGCAATGATAATTTTTGAATAATTTTTTTCTTGTGTATATTTCATTTTTTATTAGTGAAAATATCATTACATCAATAAGGAAAGCACAATCCAAATTCATATTAGTTAAATTAATCTACAACCAAAAGCCCGCCAAATTTGAATTAAACACGTTTTTTGATAAAAGTGTCATTTATGATTGTTGCATTTAGGGATAGTAGCCAATTTCGGTACCAATCTTGAAAATGCCTCGCCATGCCCGCAACATGGAAGAGAAGTATTGGTCTGATATTGAACTATCAATCAATGCAAACTGAATCACCTTGTCATGTTGCTCCACAGATACAGCAGTCTGAGTCCCTCGCTTGGTCATGTTGCTCCACAGATACAGCAGTCTGAGTCCCTCGCTTGGTCATGTTGCTCCACAGATACAGCAGTCTGAGTCCCTCGCTTGGTCATGTTGCTCCACAGATACAGCAGTCTGAGTCCCTCGCTTGGTCATATCACACCAGATAAATAAAAGTTCAGCTTCACAATACTTACCTGCTCTATTATATGATTTTTTCCAACTATCATATGTTAGTTGTTGTATTGAAGTTGAGTATGAAAGAATAATGTTGCAAGATTTCTCACCAAATAAAAAATCATTAAAGAACATTTTATTCTTTGAAAATGTATTTATGTTGAAAATAATGGAAGATGTTATTCTTGTTAGTTAGTTTACGAAGTTCTTTTGGAAGAAATTTGTTGAATATCTTTATTTTGAATGGGAATGAACTTAGGAAATTCACCACGAGCTCTTGAATAGGCAGAATTGTAATGGATGATTAGCTATGATGGGATTATACGATGTTGGTTTGTTCTAGAATGATTAAAAAGTTTTCAGGTAATGTGCTGATGCATTACAAAAGATGGAAATTATTTAAATAATAACATAGTTTAATAATATTCAATTTAACTGATTAAATATTTGAAAAATTATCTAATTAGGATTTTTTTAGTTTGAAAAATTAATTTTAGGCATAGTGTATAAAATAAAAAGCATCTACCGTGTCAGAAAATCGAAAAGTTTTCCAAAAAAATCATAAATTTCAAATTTAGAAATAAAAATTGGTACTTTTTAATATGTAAAATAAGAAAATGTATTTTTTTTGAAAAATTTAGATAGAGTAGTTCTCTTTGTATCTAAGAGGAGTGAATTTTTTTTCTTTAACAAGATCTGGAAACGAACAGTTGAAATTTATTTTATCAATATCAGGAGGAAAAGTTAAGATTCAATATGGGATTGGTTGGGTGTAAGGTAGAGGAACTATTGTGTGATAGTTGATGCTTAGAGTTGAAATTGAAGGAAAATAAAACGATAAAAATAAAATGAATACTACGATGGACCCGTCAGTAATAGGTAGTGAAGAGAATAAATCATCCTTACCTCAGACAAAAAGTCATCCTTACCTCAGTCATTGACTCATCCTTACCTCAGTCATTGACTCATCCTTACCTCAGTCATTGACTCATCCTTACCTCAGTCATTGACTCATCCTTACCTCAGTCATTGACTCATCCTTACCTCAGTCATTGACTCATCCTTACCTCAGTCATTGACTCATCCTTACCTCAGTCATTGACTCATCCTTACCTCAGTCATTGACTCATCCTTACCTCAGTCATTGACTCATCCTTACCTCAGTCATTGACTCATCCTTACCTCAGTCATTGACTCATCCTTACCTCAGTCATTGACTAATCCTTACCTCAGTCATTGACTCATCCTTACCTCAGTCATTGACTCATCCTTACCTCAGTCATTGACTAATCCTTACCTCAGTCATTGACTCATCCTTACCTCAGTCATTGACTCATCCTTACCTCAGTCATTGACTCATCCTTACCTCAGTCATTGACTCATCCTTACCTCAGTCATTGACTCATCCTTACCTCAGTCATTGACTCATCCTTACCTCAGTCATTGACTCATCCTTACCTCAGTCATTGACTCATCCTTACCTCAGTCTTTCTCTTTGACATCCAACACTCAGTCTCTCTCTTTGACATGCAACACTCAGTCTCTCTCAGAGACATCCAACACTCAGTCTCTCTCTTTGACATCCAACACTCAGTCTCTCTCTTTGACATGCAACACTCAGTCTCTCTCAGAGACATCCAACACTCAGTCTCTCTCAGAGACATCCAACACTCAGTCTCTCTTTGACATCCTACACTTAGTCTCTCTCTTTGACATCCAACACTCAGTCTCTCTTTGACATCCAACACTATAATTTCTTATATATATTCCCTACGCATTCACATCACATTCTTCCTAATCATTTATTAAAATTTTTCCCTTTTTTCTAAATTTTAAATCTTTTTAATTATATATTTTTTTGATTCATTTCCTTATATTTTTAAATATTTTTATCTCTCTGTATTTCAGTTTAAAATCCGTTTATTATTTCAAATTCGCTTATGGCCCAGACTCCTAAGGACATGGTTCCTGATGAGACCCGCGAGCCTTTTTTTGTTGAAGAACCAAAAATCGAAGCAATTGATCCTTTCAAGTATATTAACTGTACCAACTACCTAGATTTGAACACAATTTCCATATTACTCAAAGAAATCGAAAAAAACATACTGGCTTACACACACACCGATATTGCTCAAGCTCTTAGTGTTGCCGGAATTTCTTATGAGCAATTTCAAAAAATTCCTTGCTTTGTTTATATCAACTATTTCTCCAATCTTGCCATAAAAAGGCTTGATCTTTTGGAGATCATTATTTATACATACATTACAATATGGGAGTGTAATGATATGAAAATCTTTATTGACAATAATTTTGCTTTTTTTCTTTATGTGGTCGATAAATACTTAGACTTCCAGACAATTCAACAATGCAGTTTCTATAATTTGAAAGGTAGATCAAACATAAAAGATGATGTAAAAACAAATAAGCAAATGATTAATATATTATATGAAGATTTAATTACATGTTATCCATATAAATCGACAGCCAATCTAATATTACATCTTCTAAATGATGATACTACATATAACTTTTCGAATGTTGACTTTCGATTTCTTGATGATCACTTGCATATCGCTCATTTAGCTTTGCATTTCTCTGCCACAAATGTATTCAATCAGTTTGCACAGGGCATCAAAGATAAAAACTTTAATAATTATGTTAAAATTTACAATGGATCTTATTTCGACTTTGATCTTTTGAATGATGGAACTGTGCCCAAATGGATTTTGGCAGGATCAAACTGTGTCAATGCTAATATGCTTCCATTTTTGATTTCAACTCATGATTACATCGGATTTCTAAAACAAAATAATCTGAATGAAAGAAGAATTCAAGGGCAAGTATTACTTAACTGTGCAAAATATAATGAATTCCTTATTTTTCGTACATTTTGAAATAAGGATACCGCAAAAAGCTGTATCAAACACATAACAACGGCATCTGGCTTAGAAGCATTTTATCTAGAGACAGTGTATAAAATGTTAGATATAAATTTTCTTAACAAATTATATGATACAGAATCATCGAATTATATTGGACTATATTCAAGGCTTTTATTTTTCGAATGCAATTCCAAAATACCTTATAAAATCAAAAATTTTGAGCTCACTGTTAACAAAAATAAATTATTGAATCCATTTCAAGTATACGAATTTTTAAGTTATTTACCGTCATTTTTGGAGATCAAAAATGCATCGGTTAAAGATCCTAAAACGGATTTATTTCGATACAGGATAGTATACAATTTTAAATATATAAAGGAAAGCTTAATTACCTCAACAAACAAAAAAACATTATTTGATATTGTCCTTGTTAAAGGGAATTTATTTTCAATTCAATTAAAAAATCTCCCTGAAGGCATGATGATTGACGAAGATTCATATCTTAAAATTCACAAATCAATTTTGCCATCCCCACAAACCAAAAATAAATTTCGTACGAAGTTAATTAAATATAATATAATTGACCGGCCAGAAACAGAAGACGAAAGAGATATTTATGATGAGTTAAAAACCCTTCCAGGACGTGTGCGAGTTCATTATTGTGATGATAATGAAACATATCAAATGTTTTGTCAAGGACATAGAGTCGAATGGGTCTCTTGGGTATCACCAATATCTGCGCAATTGCTTATGAATCCGAACTGCAAAATTCAATTGATTGAGGTCGACGCTACCTTCCCAATTGTAGATTATATTTTAATAGTCCCTCAAATAGTTATTTATAATACAGGGATTCCTATGGGCTTCTATGTTGGTCCATCCGAAAACGCAGAAGCTTACAAACTGTTTTTTGCCTCTTTAGAAAAATCTGGTGTTACAATCGAAAGAATCAGAGAAATTCCATTCCTTGGTGATTTAGGAACTGAAATTAAAA